CTTCTGACCGATTTCTTTCATTTTACTCTCAAAGTCCAATGGGATGATACTTCGACACGACCGATGAGAATTAAGGCACAGAACCGACGGCTTTACGTGCTATCTGAGGAACGGAGATGACACACAGCCAACTACTTCACTCCGGGCTATTACTGAGAATATCTTAACAGAAAAACTCAGTGATTTATACTTTGTCCGATCTGGGACTCGAACCCAGGACCTCCCAATCTGTAGCCGTACATGCTAGCTATTAGACGATCGAGGCAGTTTATTATTTGTCTATTTATATAGAATAGATTTATATAGTCCACCTATATGTATATGTATATACAGGTTATGGATAACTAATGAAACTTAAACAGATTTAAATATTTCATTGAAACTATTTGTCCTATTACCCTCGAAGCCTACTTTCGTACAACTTTTTACAATCCAACAGATATCGCAAATATAAATTTATTATTAAATAGCGACCGAAACCCTTTGAAGTAGTGAAAGGGGTCGACAAGTGAGCTATATTGTAACTTTTCGAATTAAATTCCATAGAGAGGCAATAACAACCAATATCGTGGGAACAGTTGACTTTTGTTTATTACAGGTTTTATTATAGACTTTTACTTGACTTCCAATTTTTTATGCAAATATATTTGATAATTAAGTATTGAGCTTTAAAAAACGGTTAATTCTAATATAACCGTATGTTTATTATATAATTAATTAGTATAATATAAATTATAAAACCCGCCTAACTAGTCTGCTCGTCTATTCGTCTGTTTAAGACATCAACGTCGTCGATCTTGCCTTTTATTTTAAGTAGGCGCTAATAATAAAATTGTGCGTTAAGGAGTAAGGTGCACTTAAAAGTTGAGTCTCTAAAATATTCTAAAAAGTATTGCAATGTTTAAAAAATCTATATTTTAATTGTAGCCGCATTATCAAACGCGTGTTTCACCTACGTTTTTATACCTTTTCTACTGAGTACCTAAGTACGGATTTTCTGTATTTGATTGTTTATTTATTATAATTTTTCATTTTAAATTTTACTAGCAGAACTCCCGGCTTCCCTCGCGCTACACAAAAAATCACGCCAATCCGTCTCTCCGTTTCGACGTAAAAGAAAGAAGGACAAACAAACAAACACACTTTCACATTTATAATATTAGCATGGATATGCTATTTCTAAAATATTATATAATAAAAAAACGTTTTTAAGATTTTCTTATTAAAAATGCTAGCTAGTCAAGATTTTTTATTATGCTAGTAAAATTACCAGTTTAAGGTATCACGTACCGCTGAAGGATGGCTGCATTTTAATAGAGCTTTGTTATCATAGTTTCATTTTAATTGGCAAAGTAAATTGAAATTAAAGACTGCTTGAACTACTCGTATCCAAAATGAAGGAAATTAATTGCTTGGCTATATATATATAGCTGTTGTTGGCTATGTCGAAAAACACAGGCGGATAAAACGCAGTAAACCTATTTGTAAAATAATATTAGGTACTGGAATTATAATATTTTATTATACCTATTGTGATTAACTGTTTCTACTACTAAAATGTCTTTAATTTGATGAACAAATGTTAATTTAATCGTTAAACATGCTTTTTCTAGTGATCTGATAAAGAATTAATCGTAAAGTCTAATTATTTTATTATTGTTACAATTCATGTATATCTATACATATAATGAAATTCGGAGTCTTATTTGAAAATCTTATTGAATTTAGTTATTATTATTGATACAGAGACCAAATCTATAGTTTGTAGACTTTTTTCTATCTGTTTGTCTGGGAACGCATCGCGAGAAATCCACTGGACAGATTTTGATGAAATTTGGTGTAACGATAGCTAGTTATCCGGGTTAATATATAATGTACTTTTTAGTGCAGGAAAATATCTCATCTCTGAGAAATCTATAATAAGTCGCTAGAAGATAAAGAGTCGCTAGTATTACATGTATCTAACTTACTCGTATGATGCACAATATAGTAAGGACCGCTATTTTTGTGTAAAGATAGCTGTTGTTTTACAATATATTAATCCTACAAAACCAATATTATTTGTATTTGTAAAGCAGATGCTTATTCCAGTTTAATAAGTTTTAAATGTTTCATTTTCTACAAATAAATTAGTTAACTCGTCCTTATGAGCTTTAAACATTTTTATTATGAATTTAATATAATAGTTTGAATTTAATTAGTATTTTGTGTATCACAAGTTAAGCCATTAACATATTTGACGTAAAAAGAAATAAATGTGATGTGGGTAGGCAGAGCTCGCTTAGTAAGCACCCGCATCATGTTATCACACGTTTGTAATGTGCGCGATCGATAGTGTTATCAACACTTGAAACTTCGGTTATGAAAGCCCCTTATTAGCCCCGTAATAAACATCGAGATATACCTGTGTGTGTATCGATTGTGACCTGCAATGTTATCTTCTTGAAATTAATCATCCAAATAAGACTAACTCAGTATACGGCAGACGATATAGAAATTACAAATATATGAAAAAATGGACCGACTTTATTTTAGTTATTTTACTTAAGAATTTATAGAAAACAAGTATTTAAAGTAGATAATGCTAGGAACATTAGTTAGGTACATAGTTTTTATAGTTTACTAGCATTGCCCGCGGCTCCGCCCGCGTTCAGATGACCAAAAACCAAATTCTTAGATTTTACATATTAGTATACTCTTACATTGCAGTTTTTGTATTTTTTCTCATAAATGAGACATTTTCCCGCAGTAAAAAGTATCCGATATGTTGACCCGGATAACCAGCTATCACCATACCAAATTTCATTAAAAATTCCTCCAGTGGTTTTTCTGTGATGCGGTAACAGACAGACAGACAGACAAAAATTCTAAAAACTATAGATTCGGTCTCTGTATCGATAATAGTGTTTATTTCAATAAGATTTACCAAAAAATATTTAATGTACAGATTCGGTTTAGTTACAATTTTATTATACCTATGTATAGATAACATATACAAATTCCCCATCATGCTATCATTAAATGTCTTCGATCAATAGTATTGTTGATCGAAGTTAAATGTAAATGATCACATTACTTGTAATAAGTATAGCATAAAGCTTCAGAACAGATATTTATAAAATAATGAAACGAATTTAAAAGTTTTTTGAATATAAAATAAATTTAAGAGATAAGCTCGTATCTATTTATAATAAGTATATTAGTATTTTAAGCATTAAACTGGCGATCTATTTTGGTAATATAACCGAAAATTTTTGAAGCAATTTGCTTTATCTACTTCCTTTACGTTATTTTAATAGTTCTTTATTTTAATTTAAAACTTCTCAATTTTAAAAAATGACTCATTTATTAAATTTTATAATTTCGTAAATTCCATGACTAAAATCTGTCTGTCTGTCACGTCCTCGTTTTCCGAATATATCGGACAAAAATATTTGCAACTATGGTAGATTAGTGTGACCTCATAATGAAAATTGAACGCACTCGTATATATAGCTAAAATATGTGAAATTTGAATTTTTATGGAGGAAATATTAATAGTAAGCTAGTGAAATACGTCATATATTGTAATATGCATGGAGACATTACAGAACTTCAATTGCAATTAACAAGAAATAAATTAACTTATATTACAAAGACCCTTAGTCGCAAGTCTCCATAAGTACAAAATACTCCTATACGCGTGTCCGATTTGCGTTTGACCAATTATATTTATCATTGATTTAATTAGTTTTTAACGAATATTAAAATCCCATCTTGAATTTTCTTTAAATATTCATTTGAAAATAAAATATATGATCCTATTTATTCATATATATTAATAGAATGTATTTTAATAAAATCTGAAGCGTGTTATTTTACGTTTTCTAAATTTGCTTCATGAACAAGATTTAATTTACTAAAATATTGAAAATAAATACCGTAGAAAGTTTAATTGTATCGACAATACAGTTAGCAATTTAACAAATATTTGCATTGAATAGGTATTCTCTATGCAAATTAAGATAAATATGTTTTATTTGGCAAAATATAATTTTTTTTCAAGTTATTATTTTCTGTCGTTAATAATCAAGATATGCCTATCATAAGCGACTTCAAAAAAATTATTTAAATGTCTTTTAAGCACCCTAGTTTACTATTAATCTAGATTTTCATAATTTTTAAATACTTATAGCCAGTAGAGCGGGCGGCGACCGTTACCCGACGCCTGCAAAGCCTTGCAACCTGTTGCCGACGGGACCGCCTTCCGCCCATCGTACGAACATTTTCCGGATACAAACCAAAACGCAACGGCACTCGCAGTCTCACTCGTAGCCTCAGCCGATCCTTTAAATATTCTACGAGAAACTTACCTTTATATTACCTTCGTAGAGCTCGATGCCAGCGACGTTATTTTTAAACACAAAAATTAACAAAAAAAACAATCAAAATATATGTTTGTTCATGTTAAAAAAATATATTATACTATTTTTTTTTTAAACTGAAAAATATAAAAGAACACTTCAAAATCATAGCTACTTCAAATCAAGTAGAGAATGAATAAAAAAAACGAACGAAGGAAAAAATGTTCGGTTTGAGCGCGTGTGGCGGCTGAGTTATCGCGGTACTAGAAATGCAGATGTTGAGAGGAGTTAGGAGAAGACGCGCCACCGCCGCCGCGGCTGACTACAGAGTGGTAGCGGGCTGAACGGCCACGGGCCCCACCCCTAGCGCAGGCGCCGTGGACACTCAGCACCGCGCATGACCGACATCCTACCGAAAAGTGGAAAAGTGACTCCTCCATTGTAGATATAACATTATATAGTAAATAAATATTGTACCAAAATATATGCCACCGATTTCATCTAACTCACAATGTTTACTTCCAGTTTGTACTTCTAGAACTTATGTATAGGGAAACTGAACGATTTTTAACGTAGCAGAATATCTCCCATGACCTATTTACCCCTCTTATGTATAAGGAACGATTACATAAAAGCACTTGATATCGAAACAATTTATTTTTTAGGTTTTTGCTTAATTTCATTCATTATAGATTTGTAAAGTTCTCTGATGCCACTAAAATAGGCTGCTCTGAGCGACGCCTCTTGTCCCTTGGGCAAGGAATAGATCTTCGACATAATATTGTTACTTGATTCCGCAAAAACACGCATCTCATACGCGTAAGGGATGTTTAAGTCATTAATAGCATATTCGACGCTATGGCCACAGTATGCCTTCCCATTCATGTTAAATATACTTTCATTAATAAACCACTGTATGCCGCCAGCTCTTTGATTAACTTTTCCAGCTATTTGGCTTGCTCTTTTCTTAACTTTATCCACTGACATAAAACTGCAATTACTGCTCGCATGAGGGTAGAGTATCGCATGACCATCTCGTCTCAGTGATATATATGTTTTTATATTGTTTTTATATTTTTTTAAAACATCTTCTATAAAATTGGTTTCCTTTTCTGATGATGCCTTTGATCCTGGATAATTTTGTGAAAATATATTATCATTTTTCGGACATGTATCCCATGCTACATTAAAGTTTCTTGTAATGTCTACGCCAGAACTAATGTTCCTGCTAGGACTAAAGTTCTTTTGCCAGTGCTTGCCCTATTAGAAAAGATACCATATAAAAAAAATAGAACGATGGAAATAAATATAATTTATTTACTAAACAGCTATTCCTTTTTATAGATGAACTAGCACTGCCCGCGGCTCCGCCCGCGTTCAGATGACCAAAAACCAAATTCTTAGGTTTTACATATTAGTATACTCTTACATTGCAGTTTTTGTATTTTTTCTCAAAAATTAGATATTTTTCCGCGGCAAAAAGTATCATATATGTTGACCCGGATAACCAGCTATCACCATACCAAATTTCATCAAAATCCCTCCAGTGGTTTTTCTGTGATGCGATGCGTGTGTGGTAACAGACAGACAAAAATTCTAAGAACTATAGATTCGGCCTCTTATCGATAATAATGTTTATTTATTTCAATAAGATTTTCCAAATAATATTTGATGTTCACAGATTCGGCCTAGTTACATTTTTATTATATATATAGGTAAAATTACGCAAATATATAAAATACATGCTATATTCGTAATGGATACTCAAAAAGATATATAAAAATGCATAGCGATTGGTCCAAACCGAAGTGGTTTGTAAATTATTTGGGCTGCTTATAATATAATAAGTTGAGTTAACTAGCTTTAATTAAAAAGTATTGTACGAACTGGCTGTGAAAACTCCAAACCATCTGGGTTAGTGGAAGGCAGGATCACCCATTTCACATTTTGTATCATTTCTTTATTTTCACCACAAGCCACTAGTTGCTCTATAATGTATAGTGCAAACCCTACTGATCCAGCACCAGCATCTTGACCAGCATCTATCACTACCACCGGTATTTTGTCAGGATCTTTATAGTTAAGCGAAGTACTATTAATTATGACCTGAAATTTGTGTTTCACTATCATTTAATTCACACTCAGTTGGTTTACATAAAAGAAGAAAATTAAACAGACCTCGTAGAGATTCCTTCCTTCAAATGTAGTTCTACTATCATCAAAATACATACACCAATAACAATATTTTCTTAATGCCTGCAAAAATACTGTAACCTGCAAAAATAGTATAAAATATGAATAATTAATAAAAAATATTTATTACAGCTTTAACGACCGTGGTGTCTATATTTCTATTAAGTCCACAATGATCATGACCAAAGCGTTGTATGGAAAAATTAAAATAAGTAAATATTGGTATTAAGCATTTTTTTAAATATTCTATATATGTAAAACTCATTTATAGTTTTTAAAATTATATTATACTAGCAATACCCACGGCTTTGCCCGCGTTCAAGGTACTAAAAAAAAACTCTTTGATATTTAATATTTTGAAAACACTTTTTAAATAAAGAAATGGATTCACTCTATTATATTACTTTTATGTTAGCATGTTGTTTGAATACATAATATAAACAAAGAGTTAAAAATGTTACTTAACTGTACTGACTCCTATGTTAGCATTTTCCACGCACGGATCCTCATCTTCGACAAGTAAATCATCTATCATTTTCTCGTAACATAGTCTTGTGTTTTTACATCTATATATATTTTTATTAAAACATCAAAGCCAATGAAAATAAAAAAATATATTATAAAATACAAATGGTTCTTACCCACAATATTCTGTATGAACCATACAATTTAAAGTCACTAAAAATTTATAAACAAAATTGTTAATTTAAAGTTATATCTATCAACTATATATCATCAGCTATTGAATAAGTACCTATTCCCATAATAAATGTAACAAAATAAAATTTCATAATGAAACAAAATTAACTATAAACTATTAATAAAACTCATTCGTAAATTGTTGTGTTAAAAAACAATGTTATATAAAATTTTCATTCGTTTTGTTTTACGGTTTGCAATTGCACAAGAATTGTAATCTGTTATTTCACTTGTTATATCGTAAAAAATAAATTGTACTTTTTTACAGCGAAACAAGTATATATTGTTAATTTTTAACCTTTATGTTTTAAAATTAAAATAGCGATAATATAATACATAATATCGTAAAAATATGTTCGATTTGGGCAAGTTTGAAAATTTCGAAAATTTTCTACATCTATGCATATATAAAATTGTAACTAAGTATTTTTTGGAAAATCTTATTAAAATAAACATTATTATCGATACAGAGACCAAATCTATTGTTTTTAGAATTTTTGTCTGTCTGTCTGTCTGTCTGTCTGTTACCGCATTACAGAAAAACCACTGGATGGATTTTGATGATATAATATGTAAAACCTATATTAATATGTAAAACCTAAGAATTTGGTTTTTGGTCATCTGAACGCGACGGCAATGCTAGTTAAGATATAAGATTGATTGAATTGATTTAGGTTTAATCAATTTGAAATTATTACATAACTATTCTGAACAAAGTTCAGAATAGATACTTTTCAGTTTGCACAGGAGATTGGATTTCAGATTGTGTCAACTTTAATTCTTCCAGTATAAACCAACAAAAAAATCACTAATAAGTAACTGCGTTAATTTTTCCGGACGTATTCAGTAACATAAATTCAAAGCAAAATTGACAGTAGGACGGTATCTATCAGTATCCTATCGATATCCAGGGTCGATGACCAGTGGACGCGGCGGTAACACCCACTCACAGGTGTGGTGGACTTTGTATTTATAAATTAAAACCTTACAGACCGGTTAGATGCTATCTGGATGCACTAAATAAACATGAATCACAATAACGACCAGTATGTTAGCAGAAAAATGAAAATTGACTTACTATGACTTTTAACTTGAATTATGATTTTATTTCTTTTAAATAACTATAGTAAACTAATTGGCATAATGTTAATGTTAATTTTAATGATCATAAGTTCTCTTTGTGGAATAAAATATTATTTTTCTTTATTACTGATTTTCTGGTAACGTATTTTAAATTTCATGTTCTTTATGTATTACGCTATTGATACCTACCTATACCTATATGAATGAATGTATGAAAATTTTATTGATTCAAAGGAAAGGGGTAGAATCATTCGTATAGATAGATTTTAAGTAATTTAAGATATGATTTTACAAGAGCATATTAAAATCATATCTCGAATGTATTCAGATGGAAAATTAAAGGGAAATCGGAATATCACAACGAAATATTCCGATATTGCATCCGTTCAATATTGAATATTATGTCTCATTCTAAAAGTGCTTGACGGAAATAGAGTAGCATTATGTTACATATTTGTTATCGAATATGATATTGAAATGTTTTAGCTCGTAAAGCTGAATAATAATTCTCACAATTATAATTTTATGAGTAAAAATAACTTTTCATAATTATATTTGAAAAACTATTATATTTGAAAAACTAGCGAATTTAGCTGATATTTAGCCTTTAGGTTCTATTCGGACAATTATAATGAATGTTTTTAATCAGACTATTTGCACAACAAAAATATTAATTGAAATAATGATTAAATATTTTATTCATAACTAGTTACGTACCCTCGTTTTGCTTGGGTACGTATCTAGGTACTTTTTAAAGAGATACGAATAGTTATTGCTAGTGTACGAGTACCTTAGGAGAAAGACTTATGCTATTGCAGATTTTTCTGCAGAACTTATTAAGAACTACAATTTTCTAGTACATTGTTTTGATATATCTCTTATGGTTTAGTCAGCGTCGGACATTCTCTCTACTAAAAACTAAAACGAAAGATTTTCCTTTAGTAAAAGATACCCTAAATATTGACCCGAGTAATAAGTTATCGCTACACAAAATTTAGTCAAAATCAGTCCAGTACTTTTTGCGTAAGTCGCGAACACATAGATAAACATACAGACAAACAAACAAAAATTTTAATGACTATTGTTTTTGGGGTCTATATTCTGTACACAATATGTTAGAGACATTGTTCTTAAAACTTATTTCATCTTTCCTGGAAAGAAAAGTACTTGATATTCCATTTGCATTCAAGTTTATTACAAACTAATAACTTATAAATAAATAAATAAAAATATTTCAGTTTGTTTTATTGCTGTATATTTATCTAACAATATTTAATTTAACTGTTTGTTCCATCATCTTCATTATACCTTTTCTCCTTATGTTGTTTTCCGTTACTTGAAAATTCATTTCTTATCTGAGCTCCTAAAATTCTGAAACCTTCGAAGTATTGTGGTAGGACTGTCCGCAATAGACGTTCAGGGTAAACAAATTCATAACCATCCGTAAGTTCCATAGTATATGAGTATGGGACACCAACGGCCCCAAATGCGAAGTCATCACTACCTCCAGCAGCCGGATACCATTTTCCAGCACTTAACACTTTAAATGGTTGTCCTCCTGCTTTTACTACAGCATTTGAGACCATTCTAGCTAAAGTGTCCAATCTTTTCCATTCTTTAGGCAAATATTCTCCTGTATATCCCCATGGATATACCAAATATTGTCCATATGAATGCAATGAAACATATAATTTTAAGCGCTTGCTATTCTCCATCATAATATTTCTAACTATTTGTGTTTCTACTTCTGAAAATGGATTAGGTCCAGCATAGGTTTCTTTGTCACATGGATTGTTTGATACTCCACTAACGGCCCACTTGAAACCGTAATTACGATTGCCATCAACGCCGAAGCAATCGTAAACTGAGTTCTTCGATCTAGTTTTTCTCCACAAACGATTCTGCAAAAAGAAAATCGAATAAGTTGTATTGTAAATTGCAAAATAAAAACTTCATGCGTTAGGTATGCATTTATCATAAAATATATTTTTTAAATCAATCAGTTTTGTAGATATTTTTGTGAGATTTCTAATTCAAAGCCAACAGCAACTTACTCCCCGATGTAGTCTCGTATATTCATAGCCATCAGGGTTGACAACCGGAAGTATGTACCAATCTACGCCATCCAGATCCTGACGAGCCTCAGGGTCGTTGACCAGCCGGTGTATCAAGTACAGTGCCATCGCCGGCGCCGCCCACTCGCGAGCGTGAATACCTAATAATGAATCAGTTTAATAGCCTTTTGCATTCTAATGATTTACTAAGATACTAGCGACGCACCCTCCCTTCGCTCAGGTTCATCCTTTACGTTTTGATGATTATGGACTAGTTTTTTTTCAAGTTTTGTGTTTCGTGAATTTTTCCGATGTTTTAATAATTATTGTGCTATTCGGGGTGAAGACAAATCCAAAAAGCAAAGATCACAAAAATCTGTCCAGCAATTCTTGACTTATAAGTGTTGTAACTCGTAACAAAGCCGACTTTGTTTTATATACATAGATTATAATGGCTCAGCAGAAATGCCTGGTTACAGATTTTTAACATACATTATACATTAATTAAAGTCTCATGTCGTCAGATCCAGCCAGCAGGTTTAATTACCAAGCCAGCCAATCTAGCAGTCTTAAGCCATACTTTATTCTGTCCAGTATTTTGTCCGCGACTACAAAATATAAGGTTATTTTTTAAAGATTTTAATTTTCTGCTATCAAGGATGTTCATGTATTTAAAAAAAATGAAACTATCGTAATGACGGCTATCGTTTCTGGAAGCACGATTTGGTGCCACTGGCGAGTAAGATCCTATCGTTGCCGTTGAAACAATATTTACTAGTGCGGCAGGCAAATAAACAGTTCTATCAGGATTTTAAACAATTAATCATAACAAAATAAATAAAATATTGACTTTTTCTCAACTCTTCTTTTAAAGGAATAAGATTTATTGTGCCGTATCGTGTCTGCCATAAATAATTAGGAACGGTATAATCTTTACATTACTCATGAATGAATGAAATGAATGAATGAATGAAATGCACGTTCAGTGTCATTTGACATTTCTAGAGACCTAACTCTACACTAGCGCCCTCTTGCGGCGAATTCAAGCTCGGTAGCCCTCATTATATAACGAAGACGATATATTAAATTATTGTATGATAGATAAAATTTAAAAAGGGAATAAAGAATGCTAGTTGAAAATAATCATTCAAATATTAGATTTATTATCTATTTTTGTACTTAAAGAAAATACATGTTATCGTGTAAGCGACAGGAGATGAAATAACATTTCCAGGTGGTAGCGTCCACGCCTAATAAATGACGTTTATGACAACTGATTTTTAATACATATTTTTGTTAACTCTTCATATATTTAATGTAAATATTTTAAATAAGTAATTAAAGACTTTTTATAATTTTTACAAAGGTGCAGAGGTCACTTAGCGAAAGAAATTTTGCATAACTTTCCAGTTTTTATGTTGAGCGATCCGTCGGTAACAATCCTGTACGCGGACTTAGTTCTTTATTACGAAATAGTGCGTGACTGAATTTTTACTGCAAATACTTACAGACACTTCCGCGAAACTTTAATAAAAAAGATATATAAAATATAAGCGTTCGTAACGAAAAAACTTCTTTTTATCGTATTTAACTAGCTATTTTATTATGAGAAACAGGAAAAACTAATATTATGAGAGTTCGTTAACAAAGGCAACTCCATTTAATTATGCTAATCTCAAGAAAATCTTAGAAAATAAGAGAAAGTCGTTGTTATAAACTTATAAAAGCTATTTAGTTGTATGATAATTTAAATTAAAATAGACTCAATGTCATACTACGAGTAACTAAACACAGATATAGATTAATATAGTGTTTTTTTATTTCATATATTTTATTATATGGAGGGGTTATCCTTGATGAAGGACCATCTCAATCACGCTAATTTTCTCTTTAACACATATGCTTATAGTTGAAGACTGATTGCTGATAAACGAAAAAAAAATTTTTTTTATAAAATTATATTTTTTATAATAACAAAATTTCTTTAAAATTCCATATAACTACATGAGTATAATCAACAAATTCATACATAGGCATTTACCGGCTAAAAAAATATAATTAAATATAAATATTTGGACTACTATTATGACGGATTTTGAATTTGGATGTAATACACAGTACAGAAATATAGTATGACCTGGAGTAAAATATACGCTTTTGTTAAGCAACTAACACCCCCAAATATAAATACCTTTAAAATAACAAAAATAATTAATCAATAATTAAAATAAAGTTGACTTACCGGCATCAATAAATATGATAGGGTTCCCAGCATTATGGTCTGAGGATATCTTAACAAGTTTCATCCGTCTGCCTTGATAACTAGTACCTAGATTCTGTAGTTTCACTAAATCTGGGTGTCTTTTCGCTACACTGTCTATATATTCTTGAATCTAATAAAACAATTGTTGTAATTAATTTCATGAAATCTATCTACACATATAATAAAATTGTAACTAAGCCGAATCTGTACATTAAATATTTTTTGGAAAATCTTATTGAAATAAACATTATTATCGATACAGAGGCCGAATCTATAGTTTTTAGAAATTTTGTCTGTCTGTCTGTCTGTTACCTCATCACAGAAAAACCACTAGAGGGATTTTGATGAAATTTGGTATGGTGATGGTTGGTTGTCCGGGTCAACATATAGGATACTTTTTACCCAGGGAAAATATCTCATTTCTGAGAAAAAATACAAAAACTACAATATAAGAGTATACTAATATTAATATGTAAAACCTAAGAATTTGTTTTTTGGTCATCTGAACGCAGGCGGAGCCGCGAGCAACACTAGTATAAAATATTTCGCTTCAGAACTTAGCTGCCCTTGGGCAAATTGATTACTATATCTACAATCGATAACGCTAATAGAAAAAAATATGAAAATGACATAATGTAACTACTTGGCATGACGTTTCGATGTGGTATTTAAGTAAATCTTTATTTCTATTAGCGATAGCGATATTACTCAGCAACATGATATTTTCAGTTTTTTCATATAAACATTATAATTTACATATACTTATGTACGTATGTAGTAATGATGTTGGTACTTACAGCAGGAAAAGAATGATATTCATAAATACTAAATCCACGTAAAACTCTTCTTTTTGGCGTCCTATCGAGACTCTCAAACGATCTAAAATTAAAAACAATTAATTATGTATTAATTTTCATCATAACATATGAGAAAAACAAATATTTGCATTTCGCAAAGTGATATTTTAGCTCTATTATTTTCAAAACAAGTCACAATTAAGACTCAAACAATTTATTAAGAAAATTATTATTCCAACTCGATATAAACACTACACAATAGTTCTAATTATAAGTAAATTATCTTATAATAGATTTTAGAAATTAACTTAATTATTTAGGTAGTGACAAATTCTAATTTACTGTTCTATCTACTATATTGTCTGCATCTAAATATAGACTCTTAATTTACGTATTTATATTTGTTTGTAATCCTCTAATACTGAGAATAAAGGCGCCGATGACGCGCGTATCATTAACCTACGGTTTGTGCGCATATTCTGCTCATAATAAGTATGATAATAAGTATTGCTTGTATTCATATCGATACAAATCGTATCGTATCGTAATCGACAGTCGTCGTGTTTATATATAGGCTCGAATATATTCTTTATTTTACTAAACAATTCAAACAAAAAAAATACATAGAAAGTGACGTGGACAAAGATGGAATGATTTAGAAACGTAGTAATTAGAATTATTAAGGCAGTAGTAGCCCAGTGCTAACGCGCTTGGAAAACTGGATGAAGTGGGTTCACATCCCGGGTCCGAACCTCTGATATTTTTATGAGCGAATCATTTCCAACATGATTACGACTTGCTTTACTGTGAAGAAAAACATTATGAGGCAGGCAAAACTGCATGTCTGAGAAAATCTAGCAAGTTTTCCAAAGACATGTGTAGTCCGCCAACCCGCACTTGGCCAGCGTGGTGGACTAAGGCCTGATCCCTTCGTATTGAAGGAGGCCCGTGCCCAGCAGTGGGACGTTAAAAAAGGCTGAATACAGTACAAGATTTATTTTAACTAAACCAGCATTTTCATTAAGATATACTAGATACGCTTGTTGAGTGATATATCAAACCAAATATTACTTTGAAATCATTTACCTGCCATAATTAGACTTAAATTCATATTCCAAATTTTGTGCACTAATAAAATCTTTAAGAAATCCTACATCGTCAGGCGGCACTAGCACGTCGGTGCTGTCATTAAAACTTCGGCTTCTTTTCAGAATTTCTAACTGATGGCCTGGTTGCTCTAAAGCTTTCAGTGCTTCAATTTGTAAACTGTTTCTTGGATAGAGCTTTACCAAGGTATACCTAGTAAAAAAGTTAGAAATAATTAAAAAAGTAATTGAAAAACCCAGCAAGTTTAGAAAGTGACGACAAACTGAGCTGTCATTATTTTCACACATCCTGTTTAAAAAATAAGCTGAGCAATGTGTTAAATTTACTATTGAAATAATCTCAAATTAATAAAGTAACACGTGTTAATATTATCAATCTTATTCATTATCAATATAATAATTGATAAATCAACATTATTAGTAGAAAATTATATCAGAATATTATGATATTTCATTAAAATAATGTTTGTATTTATGATACGTACTCGTCATAATTATTATTTTCTCTGCATCCTGCTTGCGACAAGCCCAACAAACCTGAAAAATTATGATAAATTTCATAATATTTTTTGACTCCCACAACACACAAATCCTCAATTAATTGGCAACTGCTAGTATATTTCTTAGAAAGTATATTTTTATAAGCTCTTGTACACCTTCTTGAAGCATTTTCAATGTAAAATATATTCTTGGAAACGATATTATTCGCTCTTTACAGCATAATATAATACTCACTTTTGCAAGGTAGAAGGGAAATAAATTGATGGAAATTTTCTACGAGTTAATACTTAACCTGCATTATATATCTCTATCTTTATTTTCATTTTCTTTTGAAAATTATAGCAACCATATGCATTATAACATTGTATTGTGCAATATATATAATAGGTAAATTAGTAGTAATTCTGTGAGGTGAAGAGCTGTTCCTTAAAAAGCTGGCATGGCATTAAGAAACGACTAAAATTTGTAAGACAGCTTTTGCGTGAAAGTGGGACGATTCTTTAATTTGCGGCGACATTTATCGTGTTTCTTTGGCTTCTGGTAATTGAGCTTTGAACAGGGTTCGATCTGGCTTCCACCGTGGACCAATTCCAAAGCAATTGATGTCATCAGTACCGTTCTTTGATCGCCCAATCCCCGATCATTTTAATTTAATAAAGACGGAATTTTTCGATTTAAATTAACTGCAACGCTCTATGGAAGGAAGCCGTGCCGGTCTTTTGATTAAATATTACTCTATTTTATTTGATCCGAGTTGTGTTTGGAAATTTTATATTAAATTCTTAATTATCTGTAGCATTTATATTGCGTCCTCGCTTTGACTTCCGTTTACTATATTTAATTATGACTGTTTTGCGTGTAGAAATTTTCCAATTTTTTATACAAAAATTTGTTTAATTTGTAATTTTAGCTTTTTATCTTATTTTAATTAAACATTCGGCCTCACTAACTAAATTTTGGTTATATTTTGTCTGTACGTTTAAACACTTTTAATTATAATAAATACATTATAATAATACGATTAACAATAATCGTATAATAATATCAATTAGAACAAATAAAAGCACTCTCTCGTTTTTATAACAAGTGTTGTCGTGGTTAGTGTAGTTTGAAAATTGTTCAAATCTTAAAATTTAAAATAAATATTTTAAGAATAAAGTTTGCAAAATATTATATTCCACTATAATGATAGATAAGCCAGAACAAACAATTTTAACAAACCTTTTATCCATACATATAATAAAATTGTAACTAAGCCAAGTCTGTACATTAAATATTTTTTGGAAAATCTTATTGAAATAGACATTGTTATCAATACAGAGACCGAATCTATATTTTTTTAGAATTTTTGTCTGTCTGTCTGTCTGTCTGTCTGTCTGTCTGTCTGTCTGTTACCGCATCACGGAAAAACCACTGGAGGGATTTTGATGAAATTTGGTATGATGATAGCTGGTTATCTGGGTCAACATATAGGATACTTTTTACCGCGGAAAAATATCTCTTTTCTGAGAAAAAATACAAAAACTTCAATGTAAGAGTACACTAATATGTAAAACCTAAGAATTTGTATCGTTTACTTTCTGAAGAATAAGGAAAATGTTATAACGGCAATAACAGTTAATTTAATTTTTTTTAAATATGAGTTATTGTGAATACTAAACTTCTCTTCCCCTTGAAAGAGAGATAGCATAGTATAAGTATGTAGTATAAGTAGATAGTATAGTATAATAAAATCCGTTAGCTATTTTCATTAATTAACTTTTATTCAAATTAATTAGTTTTTGTATACTGTTTTAAAACATTATATTATATTACTAGCGACTCGCCCTCGCTTCACACGGTTTCGCCTCTAGAAAAAAAACAAATCTATCCCGCGGGAACCGTATATTTTTCCGGGATAAGAGTAGCCTATGTGTTATTCCAGACTATAATCTATCTCTGTGCCAAATTTCATCCAGATCCGTTCAGCGGTTCTGGCGTGAAAGAGTAACAAATATCCATACATACTCACAAACTTTCACATTTATAATATTTATACAGACAATATGATACACTATGTTTCATTGACTCGTCAAAAGTTACCAATATACATTTAGTTTTCGGTATACATTTACTTAAATACCTCTATTAATGTTATATATTTGTTAATTTTTAATTTATTTTTAATAATTACTCTATTTTCATTAGTTAATTAATTAATCTATTCCAAACAATTTATGTGGAATTTATAGGAATTAATAAAAAAAATCGATTAAGAAATTAAAAAAAAAATTAACACTTACTAGTATACAATGCAGTTAAACCGGTTACCTTAACCAGGTCAGGATTAATAGCAAAGTCGTTTTGATTCAAAGAATAAACATCATAATAACATTTTTAAGGAAACTGAGTACTTCCTCGTATATACTAAATTATTATTAAAACAGAAGGTTACTTAAGAAATATTTTTAATCGAGCTTTTTAGATCAACAATAGATGATATTTTATTTTTTTATTTTATTAAAGTTATTTTATTTATTTTGTTTAAGTTATAATACGCAAAAAAATAAAATTCACATATATGTATATAAAACTTTATTCTTATGTATCGATTATATATATATATATATATATATATATATATACACAAACCTACTTTTATTCAATACATATATGTATATATATATATATGTATGTATTGGATAAAAGTAGGTTTGTGTAACTTTAAATATCCCTTGCACTATTGTATCAGAGAAAGTACTTTGTTGTGAGCAAGCAGAGAAATGTCGATAGGTAACGAGAGCAACTAAATGTATTAAAACATAATATGAACCCATTTTTGAATAACATTTCACTTAAAATTGCTGTCATTTAAGAAAATTATATATAATAATAATGTTTTTTTTTTTAAATAAAACATGAAAATTATGATTACTTACCGATAGCTAAAATTATCCAAGCCATTTTATTTTCCAATATTTAACTATTTAAACTCCGATTTAACCGTTTTGAGTTAACTCATATATTATATTTGTCTTATATCAATAAAAATAAAAATAAATAAATAAATAGAGTTGATCGCAAGCGCATTCGTGCACGCGTGCCACCGTACCGCCGCGAACTGTGCATGCGCACGCGCAGACTTCGATCTTCAATATCGAGATCAAGATCCTAAATCAAGAAATTTCCAAACACCATGTCACATACAAGCATGTACATATATAAAGGGCGTTTGCCCCTGCAATATAAACAACTGACTAATCAGACCCATTTAGTCTCCAATAAATTTTTTTTTACAATTATCATCGTTTAACCGATTTCCATAATGATTATTTCTTTTTTTTATTATTCTTATATTTTTTTTAATAATTGAGATTTTTTTTAGTTTTTATGGTTATTAAAGATTATTAATCAGTAAACTCTCATTATTCTTCTGCAGTTATAGGTATATGATTAATTCACCGTGACTTTAATGGCTAATGCCATGAAATTAAAATCCGTTGTATGTATGTTTGTGTGTGTGGATATTGTCGCTATTGTATTGTTTACGAATTTATTAATGAAAATTAAAAAGAAAGCATGTTAACTTTAAAGTACAAATTTTAAACTTTTACTCAACGAATTCGCCCCATACATTAATATCAATATTTTATATGGACCTCTTTTATATTTTAAGAAGATATTATTATAGCTTACTAGCAACTCACCCTCGCTCCGCTCAGGTTCATCCCTAGTTACGTTTTAACGTTTAGGAAAGATTTCTTAGTGATGAGATATTTTCAAACAGTAACAAGTATCTTATATGTTAACCCGGATAACCAGCTATCTTTATACTAAATTTCATCAAAATCTGTCTAGTGTTTTCTCGTGTTGCGTTCCCAGACTGAAATTCTAAAAACTATAAATTCGGCCCCTATATCGATAATAATGATTATTTCAATAAGATTTTCCAAAAAATACAGATATATAGTACAGATTCGACTCAGAATTTTATTATACTCGTATGTATAGATGATTTATACGTTAATATTTAATTATAACAGCAGTACTAAAATGTTTAGTTTTAATTAATGCTTCATGTATGAATTACCAATCATGAGTTAGATATGTTACACCGTATTATCTTAATAGTTAAATTAGTCACGCGGGAAGAAAGGTAATGGCAACTAAATCTTTGAGTTTAATGAACTAGAGTGACACTGTTTGAAATATCGTCGGTGTCACTGGACCTCCCACTCATCACTCCCAGTGAAGAATAAATATATCTTAGGTTTTAGTGTCCTACAGATCATATATTATAAGTTTCAGATTTACTTTATGTATAATAGCAACCCTAAATTTCGAAAAGTAGAATTCATTTTTATTATTTGCGACAATGAGTCGCCTTCCAAATATTATTATTTTCACCTCTTTTATCTCTTTGGACTCCAAAACTGTTATTTGTATCGGTTAAAGAAAAAATATCTTTTAAATATCTTAGTATTTCAGCTCTACTATTTAAAAAAAACTCTATTATAATATGTTTAGAAATCTATGAAAATCAAATTCAATGTCAATCAATTGAGAACCAAAATTTTAATAAAACTCAAAAATTGTTTTAGCTACTGGGCATGTTTTATTAAAATATTTTAAGGATCCCCGATAACGGCGTTTTATTGTTCAACGCGAGAACAAATAAGTTACGTCGTCACTATACCATAAATAAACAGTTATACGTACGTTTAAAGAGATTGAATAAAAAATAGGAGCAGTTACAATACGATTAAATATCAGATTTAATAAAATAATTCACAAGCTTAAATTCTACGTATCTGTTGTGAATGGTCAATTTAAGTATATCTTAGTAATATATTATCTAACAAAAAATTAAACTAAAATTGCTTTGATTAAGTCCAATAATACGTTGTAACATTTCCTCGCATTAAAGTTTCATCACCCAAACAAAATTTATTGTGTAATCAAAATTTATTTTAAAATATATCCGAAAATAACATTAAAAATTTAAGTTATAGTATAAAAAATGTTTTAAAAGACAAACAAAATCAAAAGTGCATAATAATTGCAAGACTTCCGCGACACCATTCAAACAAAGAGAGACAATAGCATTTCCAAGGAGGGTTGACGTCAGGCAGGCGGCCGGTCGGAAAACTTTTGCCAAATCCTATCAGCAGTACAGAAGATGTACTGCGCCGACCTCAAGTGATTGGGAAATGGGCAGGGAGAAGAAGAAGAAAGTTTCATCACCTAGTGTTAGCCTATTGGGATTACGCTCGCTTTAAAACACAGTGAAGCGGATCCAGGATCTTGCAGTTCCGAAATTTTTCGGTGTAAATCTCATTTTCATTATGTTACCCGCATTTGACCAGAACATAAAAACTTAAAAAAACTGACTTCCAGGCACTAAAATGTAAAAAATAACTAAACGGAGTTTTCATTTAGAATAGATAACTAATCAACTATTTTCTCGAATTGAGAACCTCCTCCTTTTTTTGAGAAGTCGGTTAAAAGGACATTTGCGAGGACCTGAATTTCTTGTATTTAAGGGGAACCCAGTGCCCAGCCAAGTGCAGTTTTGAGTTTATTATTATTTTATATAAAATAGAGATCATCTTAAGAGTTTAAATTAAGCCGGAATGAATTTAATAATTGCTTAAATCAAACATTATTATTAGCATATGTGTACATATCAATAGTACTTTATATGTACATTTAATTTTAAGAATTTTTGTTTTATCGAAAACATATTGTGAATAGTAAATATAGGCATAATAACACTATGAGAATCAATATGAATGGCGTCACCGCCATTTGCTAAGGTATATGTACATCGGAACTCAATAATTAAAGGTAATTAACGCAAAACAACTTAAACACTTCTGTCATAATAGTTGATAGATGCCATGTTTTTCTATATCTATACATATAATAAAATTGTAACTTAGCGGAATCTGTACATTAAATATTTTTTGGGAAATCTTACTGAAATATACATTATTATCGATATAGAGGCCGAATCTATATTTTTTTTAGAATTTTTGTCTGTCTGTCTGTTACCGCATCACGGAAAAACCACTGGAGGGATTTTAATGAAATTTGGTATAGTGATAGCTGGTTATCCGGGTCAACATATAGAATACTTTTTACCGCGGGAAAATATCTCATTTCTAAAAAAAATCAAAAACTGCATTGTAAGAGTATACTTATATATGTAAAACCTAAGAATTTAGTTTTTGGTTATCTGAACGCGGGTGGAGCAGCGGGCAATGCTAGTTATTTTATAAAAAAGTTAAATATTTTATTTATAAAGGAGTAGATTTTTAGTTCAACAATAAACAAAAATATGTGAGATTAATGTTTAGCTAATCCAGTATATAAGCTATCTTTATTCCGAATTTCACTCAAATCTGTTGAGCCATTACAGTGTGGAACAGTGATAAAAACACCAGTATCAATGTCAAACACATAGTGTATTTATATATATATATATATATATATATATATATATATATATATATATATATATATATATATATGTTTAAAAGCATATATTTTTAAAAATCACATTTCATCTGAACTACCGTATTAATTTCTAAAAAGTCCCAAATTCTTGAATGTGACCAGGATGGAAATGTGTCGGTAAAGCCTTTTGAGCAAAACGTTCACTTTCTTTATTCTCTCTAAACTTCCTTTGTATGCGCAACCAGCTACAAATACAAAACAAATCTGACCCACTTGAGTTTAAGAAAGAGAATCTATTGAGAACAATTTAATTTACATTGACCGATTGTAAATGTACGAACATCAGATTCTCCTCTATTAGCATGCGTTGTATATAGTTTGTTTGTATTATCTCATTATAAGTAAGTTCCACGAAGTGATGACATTGATGGTGACGCATAGCCTACGGTAGGTGAAAGTGTATCCGTAATATTGGTTAAATATGCATAATATCGTGTTTTCTATCATGGCTTTGTATGTCTTATAATTAACTTATGTAAATTTTTATATAACATCTCATATAAAACTTATATATAAACACTCAAAAAAAATTCAATTATCATTTTTATTTCATTAACGTATTTCGTTGCCATTATTATTTTTCCAAATAAATTCGAATATTACTTGAAGAATTCTGAACCATATCTCAGATAGAGCATTCCACGAATGATCTTCACGCGATTCGCTCTCATACAATTGCATAACTAGTTCTAAAGCAAAAGGTATGCCATAGACCTAAAATATGAAGAAAACTAAAATATTACGAAATAGATAAGAGCTATAGTTTGAAATATAAATACTAAAGATATTCTTACAGTAGAAGCGTAATCCACACTAGACCCTCCAACTTTTCCATACCAATTGTACAAAGTATCCACAGTAACAGAGAGTACTCGAAAACTTGCGTTCCTCATAGCTTCTTCAATTTCCGCTCTTAAATCAATATATTTATCATCATCTAAGGCGGAATCAGTATAGCCTTTTGGATATAACACTGCATCTCCCTACAAGCCAGCATGATATTCATATGTAGTTAAATTCTAATAAAATATTATTGTAGGTAAAGTATAATAGTTTAAATTAATTATTATTCTTTTTTTGATGTGTAACATCTTTCCTCTCGCTTTCCGGTAATCTGTGGGAGTAATTTCGTGAATAGAACGGAAGAGTGTAACGGAACCGGGAAGCCGGGGAAGCGCGCGTTATTTGATGTGATCTATGTGCGCGCGCGGTGGTAGAGTTGGCCGTCAGATGGTAAAAAGTGTAAATTCAATATGGCGGACTCCCAAAGATGGCCAATGTTTTTTTATGCAGCCCGTGATATGGATATTAAATGAAAGGGCTTGATGAGTGAAACACAACAAGCAACGTGACGTCATTGTAAATCCAATATAGCGGACTCTCAAAGATGGTGGATGGCGGACGGATGTAATTTAAGATATCAAGCGAAACGGTTTGCTAAAAAGAATACGAAAAAAGAAAGTAAAAGACATTAAAAAAAAGTTTAAACATTAAAAAAACGAGCTTTTATTTAAATGCTCTAAAAACCAAGGAAGTATAACTTCTTACTTACGTACATATGTAAGTACACACACACTTTTTTTTCTTCCTTGTTGTTGTTCTGATGAAAATTAGAGTCCTGACTGATACAACTATACCCCTAAACCTTATTATTATTATCACAGATACTCCCTTTCTTATATAAAACAACAATATTTTATATAACTGTATTTAACTAAAAAGTTTCTAAAACATAAACTTTAAATAATACAGGTTTTTACATTTCTCTTATACGATTTTGCTCATATCTTCTAAACGGGTTATCCGATTTTCATAATTCTAATTGAAATAATAGTTCTAGACCTAAACCTATCTTTTGAGACTAAAATTATTAAAATATCTCTACAAACAAAAATCTCATTTTCAAGTTACATAATTATAGAAAAATTCTAACAACATTCAAAATTCTCTTCAAACTTACTTTAGTCAGTCTAATTACATTTTTTATTAGATTAGCCGCATATTTCAGTTTAAATGTCAAATCTAAAAAAAAGGTTTTTAATATTTTCCACGTTTAGAGGAAAATATTTAATACAAAAGTTGTAAGGCCATAATAAAATTGATATTTTTTGTTCAATAATTTTTTCATGTAGAGTATACTTTATCAGAAAAATCCGATAAATGCAATGGATGTTAAAGTCAAAGCTGAACTACTTACTGATATAGTAAAGAGCTTCTAAAGATTTTTTTTCTAAAAGTTCTAGTCATTTAAGGCACTGTTCTATCCTAACCTAACCTAGAAAGAAAGAAAGGCTTCTTCCGAATAAGGCGTAGCTCAGCCTTAGCCTTCTCAACCTACGTTATCCAAGTCGAACCTGTCACATAACCACAAAATAAAACTTATCTAACTTCACCTAACGAGAAGGCTAAGACGGGATGCTAAAGGGCATTTTGCACCCAAACTACAGGCTCTACGCATTGATCAAAAAATGAATGAATCTTTTTATGACCTTTTTCCTACTTTTGTGGGAAACATTTTTCTTTAATATCAATATTTATCGCAATAAAAGGGAAAACGATTACAGATTTTTTCTTAGATTTCATACCAAAATTCAGGTTTATAGGATGTATAGGCTGTAAGTTGTAAGTATATCCACAATAGGAAATTCAATAGCAAGGTTAAATAGTCTAATTAGAGTAAAATAAACATAATTTAAGAAGGTGAGATGTCAGATGTTACACATCATATGCGACTACAGTAAGGCTTGTTGGTTTTCTTTGTTTTCTATCCAATTGAGTCGGTCAAAGTTACGCCTTTATTCTATGAACCAGATTTATCTTTACATAATATTAATAAGGTATTCTTTGTATACCTAATAATGAGCATGCTATTTCTTTCCTTTTATACGAATATAGCAATTGATTACCAGGAGTATAGCAAATAAGTTGAAAAAAATTTGGCGTATAATTAATTATAAATAGTAATTTTAAGTATTTTGTAGCCCAGTGAAATCAATCAAAAGAATCATTTCCAAAATGAATCGGTGAAGGAATATACCGTATGGAAGCCTGTAAGTCTGGGAGAACCCAAGTTTTGATGAAGTAGTTTTTGAAGGACATGTGAAGGCCAATTTGGGGTCCTGGTCCCTTCGCATTAAAGAGGGACCCGTTCCCAGCAATGCGATGTTAAAATAGTTGAATTGTTATTGTATTAAGTACCTTAAAAATAGAAGGATCGTACGATCCTGCGTGAACATGAAAATAAGCGGCTATTTTGTGATTATATCGATGAAAGACATCACGCACAGCTCTTGTTTCTGCTTCGGAAAACGGAACTGGTCCAGGATACTCTTGATTACAGGAGTTGATGCTACGATTATTATTCCACGATATATCAAAATTTCGATCTAATGCAACCCCTGGACATTCACCTTGTAATGCGACGTTCTTGTTCCAAATCCTACGATCCATCATATATTTAATGCATATAATAAGAAGGATTTCATACACAAACTATATATTTAAATACTCTAAAAATCTACTGGTGACAGGAGGGCTAGGGCATTTTTCGCCCAAAGAATTGCCATTCAGCGGGGGAATGCGGCTAGCATTCTTGCCACTATTCCACGCGGACATGACTTGTACAGTAATAACTAAGTGTACATTTGTTTGGTATATATAATTAAGTATATTTGTAATTTTCTTTTTTGTAAATATTCTATTAAAAAAAATAAAAATAAATAGTAAAATATATCTAAACTTAACTTTTTAAAACTAAATGCAAATCCGTCGGGGTTCGCCATCGGTATAAGATATATATCAAATAAATCCAAATAATTCGCGTAACAATTTAGTAGTGCAAAAAAATGAGGTTTATTGTTTAAGCACCCTAAACTTTTTGCACCCATCACGCTTAAGCCTTGAACTATAAATATTATTTTCTTTTCTTCTTCATTTTGTTCATACTTGTCGTTACCCGCTCTAAAGTATTTATCTGATGAACCATGATTTTTTGTCATTTTTAGTAAAACAATATCATTATATTCAACGGTTCGTCCTATTACTTCTATTGCTACTGTAGCATTTTTCACTTTTTTAGCCATACGCGTAAGCTGCTCTCGTATCTGAAAAAAAGTATATTATAACTGCAATAGTAGTAGCTCAGTGGGACATAAAAATTAAATACATCATATCTCTAATAATAGATAGCTTATTACTTAGCTATAATGATATTAACTATAATATTTGTTGGTTTTAAAAATCTAAATAAATCTGCGAAAAATTAAATGTGTAATTAAAAATCCAATCAATATTTTTTTAAGAAAATTGAATAGTTTAAATTTTCTGGTAAAACTATTCATTTACATTAGACTCACAAGTGTGCATTATTGTACAAGCCAGATTCAAAAAATTGAAATAATACTTACACTGTATGGACTCAAGTTTCCGTCATTGTCCCAGTCTTGGTCCTGAGGTAGTTTTTCCTTAACATCTTGTCTAAATTTGATAACACTTTATAGTTATAACATAATTGATTTAAAACAAACTTTTAAGCAGACAGACGTTGAAAATATTAACTTACTTTGGATCGCCTCGTTGCTTCAACATCATCATTTTGGTTACTCGTGGCGAGCTGAAAGAACACGAACTTAAATAATAATTTGTGTACAAGCACGGCTTAACAGATTTGATTGAAATTCGAAATGGATGATTAGGATATAACCATATTAAAAATATTTTTTTGTACAGTGTATACTTCTAGGAGTAATTTTATATGCTGGACATAAAAAATAAGATCCAATCTTACCTTTATTTATAACATGATATAGGTACTGAGACTTGCCTTTGCAGTCGAAGAATTTTTGGGCGTTTTGAACTTTTTTCATCTAAGTTTGATAGCGGCTCCCTGTGTTAAATAACATTTGAACATATATATATATATATATATATATATATATATATATATATATATTCGCAAATGTTATATATATATATATATATATATATATATAACATTTGCGAATCTAACAAAGTATCTATTTTTTTTAAATGATTATAACAATCTTGCTCTACATAACACTTCATACATGTATATTCATCGATATAATTAACAAAATTTATTATTAATTACCAGCCTTTGTCTGAACTTCAAAATGCTTGTAAAAGTTAAATTAAATCATTTCCCATACAAATTTTTAGGGCATGTACATAAATAAATGAGTTTTTTACGCATACGAACATTTATATTTCTATTTAGATATAAATAGAATCACACTTACCAACTTCGTACATCACGTAAACTTTGAACTGTAACAATGAAAAAAATATAAAGAGAACTAGTTAGTAATTATAAGATTTTACAATGTTAGTAATATAGATATTAAAAAAACTCTTATAGAGTATAACCTTAGCAATTACAAAATACAAACGTAATTTTCATTAAGATGACTAAGACTAAAGCCATTAAAGCTGTACGGCTTTAATATTCATCGATATCACTATTGAAAGACTAATGCCCGATTTCACCAACAACCCATAAGCTACCACCTACGTATGGGATCCCTAGCTTAAAATTCCCCTAAACTAGCCCCTAAATCAATTTCGTTTTACCATCGTCTTTAAGCCCATATTTCGAGCATCTAAATTTAAGGGGCCCTTTAATATTTAGGTGACCCCTAACTGTCGGTGAAACAGAAACTGTCCCCTAACAGCCCCCTAACCATGCTTAGGGGATCTCTTAAACTTAGGTGACGTTGGTGAAATCGGGCATTATACTCTCGACTAAACTAAAAAAATCCGCGGCTACCTTATATTCCCACTAGTACCAACAAGTACCTACTACCTAGACATGCGAAGCTGCGGGGTAAAGATGATAGTTGGCTATCAAGGTATTGGACACTTTTTACTGTGGGAAAATATCTCATGTGTAAAAATGTATACTAAACGTTAAAATGTATCTAGGGAAGAACCCGAGCGGATCGAGGGTGAGTCGCTAGTGATCTATAAGTATTATGAGTGTGACAACATATTTGTCTTTATTTTACGCAGAAATGGGGATACTGGTCACCGTGCTTTTTTACATAAGAACAGTACCTATGTAGTACAATGTAATAAGCTAGTATTTATTTTAATTAAATAAAAGGGATTAAACTCTGCTGCATATAATTATTAAAGAAATAATTACTAAAAATAAGATATAAAATTATAATATATGTATACTGTATGTATATTAGCATAAAAAATAAAACTAATCACACGTTCTTCTAAATTACTAAATCTGCATAAAACGTAAACTTACCCTTGTTTATATTAGGCCATATGATACATAAATAAAAAAATAAAATTATTTTTACAGATTTCATGATTAAACTGCCATAATCTTGCGACACGAATATTGAACGAGACTATTAAAGTGAGCCTATAACAGATTTATAACAATTTGTGCATACATATAGTATTGCGATATTATATAAAACTAGCATTGCCCGCGGCGCCGCCCGCGTTCAGATGACCAAAAACCAAATTCTTAGGTTTTACACAGTTCTTGTATTTTTTCTCAGTAAAAAGTATCCTATATGTTGACCCGAATAACCAGCTATCACCATACCAAATTTCATCAAAATCCTTCCAGTGGTTTTTCTGTGATGCGGTAACAGACAGACAAAAATCCTAAAAACTATAGATTCGGCCTCTGTATCGATAATAATGTTTATTTCAATGAAATTTTCCAAAAAATATCTAATGTACAGATTCAGCTAAATTACAATTTTATTATATGTATAGATATATGTATTATAACACGATACTATTTTCCTATTAACGTTTACTGTTTTTACAAAACGCAATTTTCAAAAATTTGTTTCTTTCATATTAATAATGTAACATTAGAAAAAATCATTAAAAATTTATTTCAAATACAAATTATTATTTAATTATAACACACGTGTATAATAAAAGATAATACCAAAACCTATATCTAATATTATATTTAAACGAGCAATTCTTGTATATTTATACCGGCGATCTTGTTGCTTTTGAATTAATATATATATATATATATATATATATATATATATATATATATATATATATATATATATATAAATAAAAAGTGCAAATATAGGTGGGAAATTAAAAGTACTTGAAACGGAACGTCATTGGTCAGACTGAATGTGACGTCAGAGTATGATATGACAGAGCCAGTGTTGCCAATTTATCGCTAAAAATATCTTAAAATGGCAGCACTGACTCTGTTATATTATACTTTGATGTCACGCCAAGCACAAAATGTTAAAGTATTCGTATCGGTGTGATATTTTTAAAGATTTTTTTATATAAAATTTTAGTTTTTTGGAGCTGTATATTTTTTTATCATTATAATAAGGATGTAATCTATTGTATACTTTTTTTTTTAATCACGCATATTCCGTATTATAGATAAATAACTATATATTACATATAAATAACAAATTCGCTCATACATAATATTCTATTTTTTACATAGAATATTGAATAAAGCAAGCTTAAAGATGATTGTGGAGGAAAAATTATCATTATATATTATACTAGCGACTGAACCTCGCTCCGTTCGGTTTCATCCCTAAATACATTTTAACGGTTAATATAAATTTGTCAGAAATGAGATATTTTCCCGCAGTAAAAAGTATCCTATATGTTGACCCGGATAACCAGCTATCATCATACCAAATTTCATCAAAATGTGTCCAGTGGATTTCTCGTGATGCTCTCCCAGATAGACAGACAGATATACAAAAATTCTAAAAACTATAGATTCGGCCTCTGTATATAAATAATATAATAAGTAATTAGTGATTACTTCAATGATATTTTCCAAAAAATATTTAATATTCAGATTCGACTCAGAATTTTATTATAATGTATATATTAGAATCACAAGTACGAGAGAATCAAGATAAAAATGATCTATTTCTTCCGCAATATAATTTAAACATAATACATCTATTTGCTTGCCAAATGTTTTATTTGATCCCAATTTTATTATTTTTCCTCTGGTTCTTATTTGTCTTATTATTATTATTCCACGTAATAAACATCAATAATCCTTTTTAATATTTCTACAGTGACCTCGTTCATAATATATTCATATATATTTAATTTATTTATATTTATATAAATGTATTTCAATATAAAATTATTTATATTAGCTCATCATATAATATTCTAAACTGTAACGTGGAAATATTTTTTGAAGTTATAATTGTTTTGGTACGTTTGGAAAAAATATGAGAGTAAAATTTTGATCATGTGCGCACACCGACAGCCAAAAAGCAACATGATGAAGTTAGCTGCGTTCCTTTTACACACAGAGTTGTGACATACGGGATGAAATCTTTAGCTATTTTTGTTCTGTTACGCCAAAGAACTTCTTACGTGCTTACATAAGTACATGCACACGTTTTTTTAAACCAGAGTACTATATAACAATGTAGAGTTTTTTACATGCTCGGATCTTGTATATATTGTAAGAATATATATATATATATATATATTTATATATATATATATATACATATATATAAATGAATAGCAGACATTAAACGGCAAATAGGTAAACGAAAATACGCAAGCATCTTTATTTCATCGAAGATTTTAGACTTAAGTGAAATAAGCTCAAGTCAAATTTAGTAATAAACAACTGTCTTCTGCATTATTCATTTGAACAATTCATAACAATTGGCTTTACATAGACTTAGTAATGATATCTTAATACAATTAATGGGAAAAGTTGACTGAATGAAGTATTCAAAATATCATTTTTTTTAAATATCTCTAATTTTGTTTTTTCTAGTGACTTATCTCGCTTCGTTCGTGTGCGTCCTAGGTGCCTAGTAGCCTATGTGTTAGTACTCAGGTCACACTCTATGTATGTACTAAATTTCATCTAAATCCGTCAGCCGCCTATGCGTGAAGGAGTCACAAACGTATAGGTACACTATTGACTCACCCTTGCTTTGCTCGGGTTTGTCCCTAGCTTGCTTCTCAGTACGAACTTTCATCCCCATTTTCGCCCCCTTAAAGGGTGATTTCCGGGATAAAAAGTATTCTATGTCCTTCCCAGGGTCCCTAACTATCTTCTTACCAAATTTCATCTAAATCGGTTCAGTAGATCGAGAGGTTACCCCCTACAGCGTCACAAACTCACAAGCTCACAAACTTTAACTCTATATAATATCAGTATAGATAATATGTACGTATAAAAACGGTTTTTGGTTGCAATTCAACTAATTTTACATTGATATAGTGTCTATAAATAAAAAAAATACACAAGTGGGAAGTCGCTTGCAAAACTTAGAGTAAAATAAATCCAGAAACTAAATAATATATTGTACTAGAATTTTATCGTTGCGTTCCTCTAAGCTCTTATTAATTTAGAACCAAACGCAAGAATGTAATATGAAGTCAAAACACTGAAAGCAACACTGTAAATTTACGGCGTGATTTATAAGGCGTTAAACCTTACAAATACGAAGTGGTCACGAAAGCCAGCTCTCATATTGACCAGTGTGTAAAATTAAAAAAATAGAGTACCTAGTTCTTTTATAAGAATTCCTACAACAATAATTTTATAATTT